CGGGGGGGGCTGGGGGCTCCCGTCCACCCGTATCTGCTGGGACAGGACTCTTCCGTGCTGAAGCCTGCATATTGGCCAAGCTGCTGTGGACAGAGAGCGGGGACACGCACCCTCCCTGCCCAGGACGGCGCCTCACAGACCACTGCCAGCAGCAAACCACTCCACAACTCATGGCCAGCATCTGCCCTGTGCCACCGTTTGCCCCTTCCTCTGAGCCCCACACTGGGGACGTCCCATCCGTGCTCAGCCAGACCCCAGAGTTTGCCCTGTCCTGCACCGGCATGGATCCAGTCAGACCAGTACGGACCCCGCTACGCGTGGCAGCCACCCCATCCAGCTCAACGTGCCTGCCTCAAGCCAGGATAAACGTGCCCTTCCAGAGGACTGTCAATGTTTTAACTACTTGGTTTAGTATCTAACTAAACCGGGGCAGGTCTGTAGGGTCAGCAAACAATGCTGGGGAGCCCCCCTGCCGCTGCCCGGGGCTCCGGGCTGCCCCAGGGACTTGTGTTGCCACTGCTTGTCCTTGTCTGCTCGCCCCTGTCCTTGGCGGCCTCCTTGGAGATTTGACGCATCTCCCCCATTTAGCTCCATAAACCAGCTGGGATTGAATTTTTTGTTCTCAATCTTAAAAAGCCTGGCTGTGCCCTGCTGGCCGTGCTCCAGCCGGCTCCCCTTTAGCTTCTCCTCCAGTTTCCAGGGTTGGTTTTCATCAAAGAAGGACTGGCTATCGAAAGGAGGATTTATTTATAGGGTGTCAAATACCCTGTGTGGCACCGCAGGTCGTTATACCCCATTGCTGAGCGGCTCTGTGGCCACACACAGCTGTTCCACCCTTCATCCTGGCCGGGCACAAGCCAATTTCAACACCTTCCTAACATCTCCCCGGCGGGATCCATTTCCCTGGAGAAACATCAGTCACAGCACTAAATAAAACTCTTCCTGGCCTTGCCCTTCCTAGGGTACAGGGTGGCACGCTGGACCCCAAAATGACCAAGTCCCCCACACACACCCCGAGCATCCTTCCTTGCATCCAGCACTCTGGCCCCGGGCAAGAGCTTTTTCTATTTCTCTACTCTTTTTCGCTTTCCTGCCACAGTTTAGCAAGTGCCACAGAGTTTTTCCTGCAAGCATTGCAGAGGCACATGCCTGGGGACTGGCAACACAGCTCGGGACACTCATCCCCGTTAGCTTTGGGGAGCCAGGCAAGTGGCTGCCCACAAAGCTCCAGGCAGGACAGGCTGCCCGAGCAGTGCCCACCACAGCTGGCCTGGCCCCTGCACCCTGAGCAGGATCCATCCAGTCCCTGCCCTGCATCTCATCCTGGTTCAGTGTCAACGTCGCAGGAATGGGATCCTGACAGTCTTCCCCACGGACGCTTTCCATATAAGGCCCCCCTCTTCCTTCACCCCCCCGAGGTCCAGTGCCTGCGCAGGCAAGGAGTTGCTGGCGCGCCTACGTACGTCTGTAGCTTTCTTCTCCGCCTGCTCCAGCTTCTCCTGGGCCTCCTTGACGGACTCGGAGTACTTCTCCACCTCATCCTCCGTGCCCTTCAGCTTCTTCTGCAGGCCCTGCTGTTCCTCCTCCAGCTGGGGAAGGGACAGAGGGCACAGGTCAGGGGGGATGGCGGTGCCCACAAGGCTAGGGGGGAATGGCCATCCTCCTCCTGGGTACACCCAGGCTGTGGGCACAGCAGGAGAACACGGACACACTCCCTCTGTCAACTCTGGGGCCACACGTCCTTGGGGAGCCCTTGGTCCCCAGGGCCAGAGCAGCCCCCAGCATCCCTGAGCCCAGCGAGGGTAAGGGGACTGTGGGCTCCCTCCCTGTGTAGGGGACTGGAGAGGTCCTGACCTGGGGACACAGCGCCGGGAGGCACCGAGAAGGTCCCCATCTCCGTGTGGCTAGGGTGGGAGTAGGCTGTCCCCAAGGGCCTCCCTGGCAGAGGAACAGGGAGGTGGCACTGGGGTGTCCCGCCAAGATAAGGCATGTTTGAGGGGACCAACGCGAGTGGTCAGGGGTAACACGCTGGCATGCTGATCCCTGGGGAGAGGCACCCAGCGGGGTGAGGTCCCCAGGGGTGGGCACGCAGCAGGGTGAAGTCCCCACTTACAGGCACCCAGTGGGGTGAGGTCCCTGGGGGTAGGGACCCAGTGGGGTGAGGTCTCAAGGGCTGGGCATCCCTAGAGCTGGGATCCACAACCTGGACGCCCAGCAGGACAAGTTCCCCAGGGCAGGACACCCCTAGGACAGGGGTCCACAGGCTGGACACCCAGTGTGGGGAGGTCCTCAAGGCTGGGCCCCCCTAGGGCAGAGGATCCCCAGGCTGGACACCC